GAGTTAATCGCGGAGGCTGTGACTTCAAAGCAGTCCCTAAGGGAAATGCAAAGGCGTACCCTTGGTAAATTTCTGATACTCTTGTACGGCACTAGCGGTCCGAAGGGAATGGGAACGATGCAAGTCATCCTGACGCGTGCAACTTTGCAATTGGCGTTGCCTTAGTGCAAGATTTGTTTTCGAAATGCCGTACAATGCACGGTACGCGGGCCCTCAATTTTTGAGACCATGCAGTGTGGAAGATGTTAGTGCTCAACTAGTCGTCCTTGGAGTCATCCAAGGCCGCTAACTCGTGCACGCACCATTGATGATGAAGGATGATCTTTCGTTTCGTCGAACTGAGCTCTGGTACCAGATGACGCCGAATTGAATCCAGGTGTATGGACAGAATGAAGAGAACAACGAATAAGAGGGAAAGAGAATAATGGCTAGGGGAAAACTCCACGCTAGGATTATGATACAATATGAAAAGTAAAGTGTGAATGAAAGAACCCCACAAGCCGGCCTAGGAATGAGAAATGAATGGGCTAAACAAAAAGCAGGCCATAGGCCCAGAAACAATAAAACTGCAAAATGGCGGCCTAAACGAGCGAATTTGAGGTCATAACTGAAGGCAGATGGGCTCCGCCCCATCGGCCCCCTGTGCGTCTCGTTGAGTCCTTTCCAGAAAGTGGTCGCACGCTGAAAACGGACACTCCTAGCAAAAGTTATGACCAAAAACTGGACACCCCAAGGGGCTACTTCCCCAAAAGTTTGCTAGTGCATTTTGCATATTTGTATGATCCAAGAATGATGTTTCGCTACGGGCCGTGATGAAGATTTGGCTTCGTGTTTGAGTTTGGGGCCCGTTTGGTGAGTGTTACTCTACAGCAAAATTGCATCTGCTGTTGCAACTTGGGTTATGTTTTTTAAGCATATATAGGGGGGGTACGTTCCGTGAAGGTTTTTTTGGCTGGTTTTAAAAGGCTTGGTTTTTGCCTTTGCTAGGCCGTGTGTTATCTCCTGCGCACCCATGTGACATCGGTGGGCATGATCATGTTTTCACATGCTCGCTTGGGGAATGCCGGCTATCGTTGCATCATGTAGTGGGGGGCATGGTCAGTGAAGGTTTTTCCGGTCGGCTAAAAAAAGGCTTGGCTCTTGCTCTTTTCCGTTTGTTTTTTCGGCGTTTGCAAAGCAAAATGCCATTAAACAAGTTCATATAGCTTTTGTATCTGAAAATCAAATTTTGGGTGGCATGCCTTTTGTTTTTCACATGTGGTTTTTGAAGTGTGGGCTTTCGGAGAACCACTGCTTTTACCGTTTTGGCTATTGCTTCTTTGTCCCCCCAAATGTTTGTTAGTGTGTTTTGCATATCATTATGATCTAAGAATGATGTTTGGTTACGGGTTGTGATGAGGAATTAGCTTTGTGTTTGAATTTAGGGCCTGTTTGGTGAGTGTGACTCTACAGCAAAATCGTATCTACTGCTGTAACTTGGGTTTATGTTTTTTAAGCATATATAGGGGGGGTATGGTCCGTGAAAACTCTTTAATGGCATTGGTCAAGATAGTAACAGAATCCATGTTTCCCGGACAAAACATCATCACATCATCAGCAAACGCAATATGAGTGATACCAAGTTTAGCGCACCTCAGATGGTGAGTAAATCTGCTCCCATAAAGCATTTTCCTGATCATCCTGGAGAAGTACTCCATGCATAATAGAAAGAGAGTGGGGGCCATGGGGTCACCTTGTCTAATCCCTCTCTTACACTTAATGAAGCCATGCACGTCACCATTGATAGAGATTGAGAGGGATGACGTAGTGAGACATTCCATGACCCAAGAAATAAACTTGGAAGGAAACCACAGCCCTTCCAGTGTATTCTTCAGAAAATCCCACGAGATAGTGTCATAAGCCTTGGAAATATCCACTTTCATCATGCAACAAGGTGGGGATCTCTTTCTAGCATATCCCCTTACTAAATGCTGGGCCAATAAGACGTTGTCTACCAAACTTCTTCCCTTGATGAATGCTGCCTGTGCAGGGTTAATTAGGTCAGGCAGGAGTGGTGCCATTCTGTTAGAAAGGATCTTCGTGATGATTTTATATGTGACAAGCAATTGGCCTAAAATCTTTAACAGTAGGGTTCTCCTTGACCTTGGGGATGAGTACAACCGTAGCATGATTGATTTGTTTAAGAAGTCTTCCACTAGTAAAGAACTCAGAAATAGCATCAAAAAGGGTATGTCCAATAACTGGCCAATTCTGTTTGAAGAAGGCAGCTATGTACCCATCTGGTCCCGGTGATTTGTCATTCCCAATACTAAAGAGTGCTTCCTTCACTTCAAGCATGTCCACTTTCCTGATCAGATTCTTAGCTTCGAAGTGTTGAACTAGGGGTCCCTCTTTAAATACATCCCAGTCAATAGGGGATGTGGGAACAGTTTGTCCAAAGATAGTGCTAAAGTGTCCAATGAATTCATCCACAATGGATTCCAAAGATGTAGTGGTAGTACCTTGACTAGTGATGACGAAAGGGATGGAGTTCAGGGCAGTTTGTTTCTTCATCAGGGAGTGGAAGAATTTGCTGCATTTGTCTCCCTCATTAATGAACTTGCATTTGACTTTCTGTAGGTAAAAGGATCTTTCAGCTTCACAATAAAAGGCAGCCTTTTTCCTAACAGAAGCAGTTTCATGAATTAGGGCAGTGTTATCAGGTTCATTCAGTAGTCTAGCCATAAGTTCCGAGTATGTGTTTCTAGCATTCTCAGCCCTGGTTGAAATGTGGCTAAAATCCTTATTATTAAGTTGTCTCAGTGGTTGCTTCAGCATTTTGAGCTTACTGCATAATCTGAATTGCCTCGTTCCAGTAACCCTTTTGTCCCAAATCTGCCGCACCAAACTGTCAAAAGATTCATGTTGCATCCACATATTAAAAAATTTGAACGGTTTAGGACCCCGGTTGCTTTGTTGGATGAGATTCAAGACAACGGGGCAGTGATCTAATTGGAACTCCATTGGCTTGAAATCAGCCCAGCAATCCCACTAATCCCACTGGAGACGGTCCCATTCACAATTTATCAAGACTCTATCAAGTTTGGCCCACTTGTTGCCTTTGTTCCAAGTGAGTTGCAAGTCCGTAGCCTTTGCATCGAGAAGATCATTGTTTAGTCTAAACTGTAAGAGGTCAGTCATATCATATGCATAGGTATGGCAGTTTACCCTCTCACTGGAGTCCAAAACAGTGTTGAAATCCCCCATAACTGCCCATGGTGTGCACAATCTGCTAGCAATAGTAGAAAGTCTGTCCCAAAGCTCTCTTCGCACGCTCACATTGTATAAGGCAAACACAAATGTAATGTGGAAGGATTTTTGAGTGATGGAGCATAAAATACTACAATGGATATACTGATCACTAATTTCGAGAACCTCACAGGTGACAAAATTGGGGTTCCATAGGATAGCTATCCTCCCAGCATCAATCATATCAAAATTGTGAGCTACGGCCCATGAGGGAAGTTTATTATTAACGAAAATGTTAAGCTTAGAATCAGTCATCTTGGTCTCCAAAATGCAACAAAGGTGCGCACCAAGGTCCATAATATATTTACACAGAAAACTTTGTTTAAAGGCCCTATTCAGGCCTCTAAAATTCCAACAGAGTACTTTCATTAAGAGTTAGGGCCTGGACCCCTTCCTCCTCGATATGTGCCACCCCTGTATCCATACGTCTGTCCACGCCCACTGCCTCGGGTTTCTCTTTTGTATTGGGGTTTCAACGGGTGTGTGGTAAGGGTTCCCTTTCCTTTTCCCACAAGGGTAAATCCATCATTATCATCTTTCTTAGAGAAAGAAGGTGAGGGTTCATCAGGGTTAGGATGTGTGGGGGTCCTCTTATCAGGAATTGCAGCCTTATCACCCTTGTTATGACCCATGTCCTCCTTCTTATTGCCTGAATCACCCTCCTTGTGCTGTCCCTGATTAACCCTGGTCTCCTTACCTTGTCCAGCCCTAGTTTCTGCCAGGAGTGTTGTCTTCAAGAGTTCCACCTTAGCTTTGTCAAGATGTTTCTGGTCTTCCTGAGCTTTCCTTTTTTCCAATTCATAGAGATGGACACAGTCAAAAGGAGTATGTCCAAACTTCTCATAGTAATAGCAATAAAGAGGTAGGTCCTCATACTCCACATGTTGAATATAATTCCCTCCAACAAAATTCACTTTTATAGAAGAAGGAGGGGGTTTGGAGAGGTCCATATGAACAAGAACTCTACAGAAGTTAGGTTTCTTGTAGGCCATTTTATCCTCGGGATCTTCCTCCAAGGTTAACTTGGAAGCCACCTTATTGGTGAGGCCATCTGTAAAGAGTGGTCTTCCCAGTTTTGAGGCAATTTTTGACAAACTATTAGGACCCCAAAACTGCAAAGGAACGTCCAGCTTCACCCAAACCGGCATAGTGGAAAAAGATTTTGCATTCCACATAAACCCATCCTGTGGAATATTAAGCAGGAATTTCTTATTGTTGATTCTATGATCATCCATATGTAGCACCAAATCCCTGTCAGCATCTGTCAAGAATTTAAAAATAACCCAGCCTTTGTGGTGAGGGAGGAATTGGCAAGGCACTTTCCAAGATTCCACCAAGGTTTGGATGGGAGCAAGGCTAGGGAATCTTCCGGTAAAACATCCAACCAAGCAAGGTCCCCATAACTCCTCCATAGGTGTTATGTCTTCGGGTTGAATAAAGACCTCATCATCCTCAGCCATATCAACCGTATGAAGCTTCATACCCTTATCTTCAGACCTGTTCTTCTCAAACAAAGATACAAAAGATTTTTTCACCACTGGTTTTTCGTAATTTTTGGCAGTGATGTTAACATCATTGTTTCCAGCTTCTTTCCCACTATCAGCAGCACTAGGTTGTTTCCCAGCTTCTTTGGCAGTGGATGTGGCAATGGCATGGGTGTTCACATCCTCTGCAGTAGGTTGGTTCCCAGCAGTGAATATGCCAGTGGCAGGGATATTCACATCCTTGTGTAGCACCTCCTGGACAGAATCTTGAAGCACTGGTTTTTCCTTATGCTGTCATTTTTCAGTTCCAATGCCATGGCTTCCTCATCCATAGAAGGAGAACGAGATAGAGAGTCAGGAGAAGCTGACCTTCCATCAACACCATCAGCCTTGGTCATTTCGTTTCCAACCAGTAGCTCTTCACCTTCAACACCAGACCCAGACGCAGAGACTCCCGCGGTTGTCCCAACATCCTCCTCAATACCTTGGAGAAAGCTACGCAAGTTCCTCACATTTGGAGGGGTGGGAGGGGTGGGATTCCCACTCCCTTTTTTTCCTTTCTTCGCCATCAAAGAGACAAAGCACACTTACCGGAGGAACATCGACACCAACTGGAGAAGACGATGAACAGTGCTGCGAAAACCTAGCTCTCGTAAACCTCCAACCGTCAAGAGAAGAGACGATTCCTTGGGTAGATATGCTCGCCGTGGTGAGGGGAAAAGGAAAATGCAGTCAATTGGAGGAAATTCACCGGTGAACGCCTTCAATTTGAACGGAACCAGCGAGGGGTACTGTTCATCCCGAATCGCCAGAGAGAAAGCTCTGTCCGTTCATTGAGAGCTCTTTCAAAGGTAACATGCAAATTATTATTACCCGTAATCAATGAAATACAAGAGTGTCAAATGCTTAACCATAGAGATGGTTACGTGCATATGTACAAAAGTAAACAGGATTACAACCAATACAAATACAAAATTACAGTAAAAATGTGTACACATCCAAACAGAATAACCATACATAATCTAAGCATTGATTCAAAAAATTTCAAATCCTGGTGCATACAAAGCCAAGGTCCAAAATCAGGGTGCTCAAACTGTCCAGGCAGGCTGCATTCAAGGCCGTGAAAGTACAGCAGCAGATCCCATAACATACTAGAGTAATAAAGTAGCCATTTTCAGTGTCTCAAAGGCCAAGGAAGTGGTCCAAAGATGTTCAGCAGCTGGGGTAAAAGTACAGCAGCAAGCCTAAACCTCATCATTTTTGGTCGGCTCGCCAGTTTTCAGCCATGTAAGTCAAGACGTGTTCAACCAGTGGTGGTCATCGTGTTCAGCAGCATCATGGATGAAAGCTCCAGGCCATCAGCAACTCTTTGCAGTCATCACTGTATAGGCACTCAGCTCACCTAAACCAGCCCTGTACTTCAGTAGTAGTCAAATTCAGAAGTGTCCAGGCAGTTCCAGTTCTCAATAACACAAGCAACAGCCCACCGTATAGCAGTAAGTCATGATGGGCTACTGCAGCAAGCATGATCTCTGCGATTCCTCTCTACAAATTCCACAGGAAACCCCATGTTGTCCGAATCCACATCAGTCAAAACCAATCAAAACCAAGTGACCCAACCTTCGTGCATAAAATCCTTTGAAAAAGGTTGTATAATGCACTACGGTCTAAGTCCAAAAAGGGGGGAATCCGACCCAAAGACCCAAACGTAAGTCTACGTATCCAAAAAGGGTACAAAGCCTTAAGTCTGTTTCCGCCAAGGTTAACCAACCCCAAGCACCCACAGGCCAAACACAACCTATGTATATAAGCCCACTCAGAAGGAGGAGTAAGCCTATATAATGGGAACTTCGGGGAGTTGAAAATAAGCGGAGATCCGGAGATTCCCGAATAGGGGTATGCATTTAGGAGAAATGGAACGGTAGAGGGAAAGGAGGAGAAAAGAGGTGAGAAGGAAGAGAAGAGAAGGGGGGGGGGAACGAAAAAGAGGGAACAGGTGAAAACACCCCAACCGGGACCCAAAAATACCTCTTTGTACCCGAAAGGGGTATAAAGAGGTATAATTGTTTCCACCACCCCAATGCCAATGCCAGAGCAAAGTCATTAAGGTTAGCCCACGCCTTAGATACAGTTTGCTCAGAGAAACCGTATCCAGCGTCCCAAACAGCCCCCAGGATCCAGTCCAGAACTTAGGAATCCAAAGAAGGATTTCTGTTCTTTGAACTGGTTCCAGCCCCAAGTGGAGGACCTAGATCTGGCCCTAGTGCCCACAAAGGATCACAAGGGTTGCATCTATGCCCCAAGAGATCAAACACTCCTCAAACACAAAGTTATCATCGGAGGGTAGGGAAAATCACAATCTGTAGGACCAGGGTATCCTCTTAAAAGATTTTTGTAACACCCCAACCCGCATAACCCGAATGAAAAGATTAGCGAACCGGGCTGCTACTAAATTGGTATTCACACACAATATTTTTCAATAAATAAAACATTTAATTTAAGAACTAAAACAATTCAAACCATTTAATTTACATATCAGAGTTTATACAATTAGTGCGGAAGCCTTGTAATTAAATCAAACAATACTTTAATCACTGCATCCGTACATCTCCTCCGTCACGCTGCGCTCCGGGATGTCCTTCGAGGTCGACCCCTCCATGATTACCTACGTGTAACAAGGGGAAAAGAGGCTACACGCTCAGCAACAAAGCTGAGTGAGAAATATCTAACAGTTCGAACATACACATATGCGAATCCACTAATTCATAATCATAACATGATATCATGCACATAGATTTATATATCATGCGGCTCATATAAACAATTCATCATATAATTTACCTAGCACAGGCCCTTTCCATTCTCATCGAAACGAAGCGTCTCTTGCAGTGGTGGATCACCATTCATCTGTACTTGAATTCTACACATAGACTAATGACTTACTACTTTTCCGGGAGTCATGATTGTTCCCACTGGATCAGCGGGTCATGCTCAACCAACGAAGGAGTTCTCCGTTGGGTGGGTGGAATCCCCACCTGGTGGATCACCAGGCAGTTCAAGGATACCCGTACGTACGTTTTTACCCGGTTCGACTTAACCATTGGAGCCCAGCAGGCATCCACCTGGTTTATACTCCTAACTTCCTATATTTATGTCAGTCCCAAAGATTCCCTTTGGGTAGACTTACCTTACCAACGCGTTGGATCAACGCGCAGTACCTGTTTGCTGTGTGCTGGATCAGCCCACTCATACTTACATTATCATATCCCAACATATGTACCTCACATAATCACACATGTGTTGGATCACCATAATAATTTTAGTTCATATAAGTGTTGGATCAACACATAACAATCACAATTATAACACATAGCGGCCTAGCATTGGGTATTGATACCCAAACTTACCGTCATACAACATATAAGGTCTCAGAATCAATCCTTGACAAAAACACATATCAACAGACTCGGGATCAGGTACTAGACGGTACCTGTCACGGTACGGGGTACCGTCCATACGGTACCTGGGTACCGGTCCTACGGTACCCGGGGTACCGTCCGAACCACTAGGGTTCTTCTGGTAGGGCTGTCACGGTAGCCGACTACCGACCAAGCGGTAGGGCCTACCGTCCGTCCGGTACCTAGATACCGAACGGTTACAGCTACCGAGAGAAGAGAACAGACAGACAAGGTGTGACGGTAGCTAGGTATCGTCCTGGCGGTACCGCCTACCGTCTGACACCACCAATTCCATATTCATACCTGTTTCATTTTTCCAATGTCAAACAAACAGCAATTTCATACTCAACAACTCCAATAAATTCATCATACGTTCCAAACATTATCAACCTGTCGATCAAGGCCTAAGTCATGCATACTACCCTTTCCAATTCAACGACAACAATTCCCAAAACCATAACCAACAATTTCATAGACAAATCACATAGATCAACCATGATAATAATTATGAACGGAATTTCAAACATATATGCACATTCTAGTGTTAGATGTCCACGTACTCACCTTGATTCATTCGATCCAATTTAATAGAACAGATGTTGGAAATCGAGCGCTGACGGGGTTGTGTTGTTGTTTCCCAATTCCACTTGTCAATCTTGACCAGGTCCACATGCTGCCCGAAGTCAACTGCCGCTACCCGGAAGTCAGTCACTGCTGCTCGGACCAACGGAGTTGACCCACCGTTGCCCAGTCATCCCCGCTGCAGCCCGAACCATTCGCCGTAGCAGAGGTAGTCGCCAGAGCTTCCTGGTTTTCCGGAACAGAGGCAGCCCCGCCGCTGACCCGCCGTCGCTGGGATAGAGGTCGCTAGACAGGGGTTCGCCAGCGGAATTCGTCACCCACGCCACCTGCCGCCTCCGCACAACCACCGGAAATCGGGAGGGAGCCACCAGGGAACCGGGTCGGGTCTGCTCACCGCCGAATCCCTAGGCACCTGTCGTCGCGTGTTGTCGCCGCCGATCGTCGTGCGTCTGTGTCGCAGGTGGAATCACTATCGTCGTCGTGGTGCTGCTTGGTCAGATCGAAGAGGGAGACGGGACTGGTGGCGGCGGTTTCAATCGAAGAAGGAGAAGAAACGGGAGAGGGTGTATTTATATTTCTAGGGTTTTGTGCTCCGTAATTTAAAATAACCTGTCCGAGTAAAACACACTTTTTGGGCCAACTTGCTCCCAATTGAGATCTGTTCGCACCGTTGGATTCGATTCATCGATCCATACCCAGTGATATAACTTTTATGCTCAAATGCCAATTATTTATAAGTTCCACCTGTTCCGTATTAATTCTTTTGATTAATTAATACTAATTAGTCTTTTTAATTAAATCTTTACAATTGTAATCAGATTAGTCTCTTTATATTGAGATGATTAAAATCTCTAGAATATCTTTTAATTCTTTAAAAGAATATATTGACATAAATAAATAATTCTTATTTATTTAATTATTCATTAACTTCTAGGCCGGGTTCTAGGCCGTTACATTTCTTCCCCCCTTAAAGGAATTTCTTCCCCGAAATTCTTCTAAGGTACAAACTTCAATGATTTGGTTTCCCATTCGTATTACTATCATGGTCGGTGAATGGCCACGCCATTCCCATAGAAATTCTCCTCGTTTGTCGTTTGAGGTATTATCGTAGGAGTTCTGTATTTGTGTTTCGTTCAGGACATATGACAAGTTCGTCAAGTTCATAATTCGATCTTTTTTTTGAGTTTGATTCGAACGGACATATATGGAGTACCTCCATAGAGCGTACCAACAATGCTTAAGCTTCCAGATATCACAACGTATGTTATTTGATCGATCGTTCAGTTCGTATTCGAGGTCTGTTGTTTCGTTAGCTTACGACGTCAGCATGAAATCTTTTCAAGATTTCTCATCGACTAGAGGGATTCTGGTAACGTTCACGCCTTTCGTGTGGTCGACAATTGTGCTTAGAAATGTTCGTTTCACTGTTAGGCTCGTCGAGCGTTAGAAGTCGTTTCGTAAGTCTATCTCGAATTGTTCTTCTCTCTATCACGTTATTACGTCACAGTTCGTGTAGCATACCTTCACAATTAGTTTCACTGTGTTGTCGCTTCATACTTGCATTGTTCTCGAGAGGAGTCAACTTCTAATGCCTACTAATAGCGGATTACTGTTCAATTATTATTCATGTTTGACAATATTTCCACGTCATTAACGTATTAGTTTGTTTTGTTTGAGTCTACTACAAGGTATGTTCCTATTAAAAATTAATTCGATCATCTCTTTATCCACGGCTCTCTTTCATAACGGAACGGAGATTCTTCAACATGCGGTTATGCTCACGATCTTTGATAAAGTCGTGGTACTTAGGACTTACGGATTTTTGTTTTAGCAATTCGTTTAATAGAAACTTCACTAGTTTACTCGCAACGACCTTCATACGCTCACGGTTATATTTGAGGGATACCGCACGTCAATTAGTTAGTTATCGTCTCGTTTCTTGCATAATAAGTTTCATCACGATTCATCATCATCGTCAAGTTTGTTTTACGCGTCAGGGTGCTTCGTTAAAAGTCGCGACAACACTCGTTCTTTTGTGTGTCATATACGTCTCGTATTTGCCTTGTGCAATCCGTTGTTTAGCCCACGTGTTGTCAATTGCCTATTCAGGTTTCGTGGTTTCATACCTGTCGTCTAACGGTTCATGCGTCGTACTCGTCGGTACTACCTGGTTGTCATTCGTCGTCGTCATGCAATCATCGTCATTTGTATTCTTCGGTGTCATGTTTGTCAACTCCATGCATCAGTGATTATCGTTATACGATCTCGTCGGGTGTACCGCGTACCTTAGTCGTCACGTCCCTATGAATGTGTTGTACGCCCTACTTGGCTCGTGTAGTTCACGTGATGTTAATAACAAGATTCTTCTCGTTAATTCTCCGCGATCAAGTCACGTCAGGATGTGAGCTCAATCTTTCGGATGGAGTGTCTTCGTGGAGTTGCATCACGCGCATTCGTCGTGTTTATGTTTGCTTCAGCTTCGTACCCTCGGTGGGTCATTCTTGGTCAGAGTACTCGATGTAGTTCAGTATTCAAGATTATCACGAGTTACTCCTTTCAAACGGTATGTAGTGATATCATAACTTCATGTTATTGGCGCGCATTCAGAGGTTCGTCCCAAAGTTTCAGGTGGCATTCAACTTATTGACATGACATTAATGGTGATATATTCGACATTACATGCATTCATCGATCTAGGAGTAGGTTCACCCTTCGCGAGTCGTAACCTAAAATCTTCAACGGCATAGTCAAGATTAAACTCATTCATTCTTGATTAATTAAAGTTATTTCTCAACAATTTCTTTGAGTCATACTAACGAGTGAGTGGGGCGTCCCACTAATGTCACCACTAACACTATCGACGTCACCAATGACTACTGTTTAGGTTTTTTTTCTTTACGGGTTAAAAGCCCTTCAACAGTGCGTCTGCTAACGTCTCAACACATTTCTACGTGTCGATGTCGTAACCTCTTTTGAGTCCGCTTCATTCATCTCATCTTGTCGATTAGGACACGTCGGTAGGTCACGTCTTGCAGGATAGATTATTCATTACGCACCTTTGGGTTGTATCCAGCCACATCACTACACTTTGATATGCTGGTGGTAGGTATTGCTTTCTTTATTAATCAAACAAGTTCTCTTTGTTCGTTATACGGTCGTTCCCGTTTGACACCAAAATAAGACTCCCTCATCCATCCAGGTCTGCAGCCCCTCAGAATTTGGTTGCCCATTCCAGTGATCATATGAGATAACCGAATATTAGACAAGATACTTTATTATGAGTACATTTT